GATGTGGGATGGACCAGCCCACTATGGATGGTGCACCCCAGGGCTTCTTGGGTTGTATAAGAAAGTGTGTCGGGGGAGCATAAGCAGCACTCTGCTATGGCATGGTCTTTATGTCAAATTGCTCTGATTGGTCAATAAATAAATCACTGATTGGCCAGTGGCCAGGCAGGAAGTAGGTGGGACAAGGAGAGAGGAGAATTCTGGGAAGGGGAAGGCTGAGGTAGAGAGACATTGCCAGCCACTGCCATGACAAGCAGCATGTGAAGACGCCCGTAAGCCACCAGCCACATGGCAAGGTATAGATTTATAGAAATGGATTAATTTAAGCTATAAGAACAGTTAGCAAGAAGCCTGCCACGGCCATACAGTTTGTAACCAATATAAGTCTCTGTATTTACTTGGTTGGGTCTGAGCGGCTGTGGGACTGGCGGGTGACAGAGATTTGTCCTGACTGTGGGCAAGGCAGGAAAACTCTAGCAACAGCACTCCTCAATGATCTCTGCTTTAGTTCCTGCCTCCAGGCTCCTGCCTTGAGCTTGCCCTGACTTCCCTTGATGACAGACTGTGTAAGAGAAATCTGTTTTCAATTATTATGATGACTTTGTTTTAAATGGTGTGTGTGTGTGTGTGTGTGTGTGTGTGTGTGTGTGTGTGTGTGCAGGTGCCCCATGGAAGCCAGAAGAGGACATTAAATCCCATGGAGCTAGTGTTATGGGAACAGATGTGCACCATCTGATGTGGGATCTGGGAACCTAACTCAGGTCCTCTATGTGCTCCTAACTGTTTAGCCATCTTTTCAAACCCTGTACATGTATGTGGAAATGCATCTGCATACATGTGGGAGCCAGAGGTTGAAATCAGGTGTCTTTCTCTATCATGTCTTGATCTTATTTTTGAGATAGCATCTTTCTGAACCTGGAGCTAAAACCAGTTGGTGAGGCAGGCTAACTGATGAACTTGAGATTCCCTTGTCTCTATACTCTAGCACTGGGGCTACAGATACCTTCAAGCAAGACACACAACCCAATGAACTGCACCTTCCAGGGGAAAAAAAATGACAGAAAGAAGAAACTTCAGAAAGGTAAGTGAGGTTAGCTAAACATGAACAACCCAAACACAGCAGTTATTACATGCATGAAGAACATGGAGAAAAGGTAGAGGTATAATGATAGTATCCCACACTGAGCTAATCACCATAACATTTACAAGATTTGAGGACAGAAATGTAGAAGAGACTATTGAACAATTTCATTTGTCAGGTTGCTCTGTGGGCATGTTTATAAGCACATGGTTCATCGATGTAGGAAGATCCAGCACATTCTCTAGGCTGGGATCCTGAACTATATCAGAGAGGAGAAAGCTAGATATGAGTGAGCAGACACCAGGAGCACACGCATTTCTCTCTGCTCTTGACTGAATGTGATGTGATGAGGTGCCTGAGTTCCTACCTTGAATTCCCTGAAATGATGGATTGTAACCTGGAATTAATTGTAAGCTGGAAAAACCCTTTCCTCCAAGTCGTTTTTTCTCAGAAAATCCAAAATTTTAAAAAAAAAGTTGGAAATGGTAGCCTCTGATGATGGGAACAAGGAAAAATAAGAAGCAAAAATGTGTGTTAATTTTTAACCCAAATAGTCCTTTAATTGTAAAAGCTAAAAGTAAGTGTCAAAGATCCTGGATCCCTGGACCAAACGTGTCTGTGCCATGAAACAGTATTCAGGCCAGAAATCTCCCGCTGTGGATGCAAGGTGACTGGCTTTTATCCATCCGTGGTCTCCGTGGTGTCCACGGTCTCCTCGGGCTTGGTTCTATTTCTCATTCTCACAGCACAGTTGGGTTTCTACTGCTTTGTCACAGTGTAGAATTCATTAGAACGAGCAGCTGGACCTGGCCTCAGCCAGAGCCTAGTGTATTCGGCTTCTATTTTTTTTTTTTTCTTTTTAATGGTTAACACAAGGACATGAGGTCACACTTTCCACCTTTGGATTGGCCCATCCAGCTGCATAAAGCCTCAGAAATTCCCTGTAATCCCAAACAGCTGCCGAGTCCCTTCTTAATCTGCTGGGCAGCAGGGGGAGTTACCCAGCTTGCACTCTCTCCTAGGCACTGTCCCAAGCACGGAGAAATTCAGGAGAAGAAACTATTTGGTTTCTGAGACAAGGGTGGGTTTGATAATGATCCTGTCTGCAGAGTAACGAGAGTAGGGGAGGTGGGGAGATGTCTCCGTTGCTGTGCAGTAACTGTCAGCAAGCATGAGAACTGAACTTGGATCCCCAACACCTACATCAAAGCCAAAGGCGTCGGCACAAACCTATTCCCTCAACTCAGAGGAGGCAGACCCAGGAGGATCCCTGGGGATTGTTGACCAGGGAGTCTGACAAAATGAGCAAGCGAGCTCCAGGCTCAGTGAGAGACCAGGTCTCAAAGACTAAGAAGGAGAGTGACTGAAGAAGACATTTGATAACACCTTCTGGCCTCCACACACAAACATACATGTGCACACTCACATGAGCACATACACACACACCGTACACTTACAAAAAAAGAAAGACAGAAAGAGAAAGAGAGCTGGAAGGGTTAGGAATCTTGAAATGGATATCACACATTCAAATGTGTGTGTGTGTGTGTGTGTGTGTGTGTGTGTGTGTGTGTGTGTGTATTCACATGCTTCCTGTTTTATCTGATTCTCAGATTCTCACTTGAAAGGCATGTGTCCTGTATGTTTTAATCTCCTGTGAGAGAGGAGACAGCCTACAGTTAAGTTTCTAAGCCCACTCGGGACAGGCCTGAGGCTTTGAATTTATGCTTTCTGATGTCAAGTTTCAAAATTTTCAAATGACACACATAGCTGTCAAAAATGACTCATCCTGGGCAATGAGGACACATTGGCCATCGATGAATGACAATAACACCTGCCATGCCCACCCAAGGGAGGGGCCCCAGTCCTTCCCAGGGACAGACCCAGTACCATCCCACTGCCCCTCACCAGCTCCTCCAGTCTCTCCCAAATAAGGTGACATTTGCTCTGCTTTCCCAGCTTTGCCAACTCTCCCGGGGGAACTTCACATACCCTATGTAGTCCAGTCTGGTGGGTGGCTGTGGAGATTAGATGTGTGTGGGTCCTATGGGTACCACAGATGCTTGCAAAGCTGTAAGATAAGATCCACTGGGCTGGCATCTCCTGCTCCAGGCACCCATGGGATTCGCTAGATTCAGAGCTGTGTGTTTTTTTCCTGTGGGGATCCATGATGATGAAGGGTAGACAGCGATTTCTGTTGGGCTAACGGCACAGAAAGAGTCTCACATGCTTATAAACAGCAATGAGAGAATTAAGAAGGATGCCATACCCTTATGTGCTTGATTCCATAACTGGTGTTTTCCATATTCTCTTTCAACAGCTACTACAATGAGAGCACCTAATATGCCTTCCCAACACTTACATCGAATTGCACTCACGGATTTATTTGTATTTCTTTATTGAATGCCTTTCTTTTGTATTAACCAGAAAGCCATGCCAGAGCAAGAACAGTGCCCGTGTAACGATCTTGAGTAATGCCAAGGCCTGCGCAGTGCCTGACCCGGTCATGACAATTATTGCTAAATGTAAGAATGTGGAAAGAGACTTATGAACTTGTTCTTTCTGGTGGAAAAGCACCTTTTCCAGCCTCAGGATTTCAAATCTAATTACTAGGACTAGGAATTAAACATTCAATCACGCAGAATTACTTTGTTAGGAGACAATCATAAAGCCGTGATTAATGAAGGTTACCAACTTTACATGCTGCAAAGCTTAATTTTCAATAAATTAAAAGTCTAATTCATTTTCTGAGTGTTGGAGATCACTGTGTATATAGTCAATGGCATATCAATTGACATTACATTTCTATCCACTACTACAGTCTGCCCAGGCTGATGGAGACTTACAAAATGTTTTGGAGACCAGTGGCACATCCAGAAACCCATCTTGCCTCTACTGACCCCTACCTAGGCTGATCAAATTGTTTATTTAATTGTGGCCACTCTCTAGAAAACAGAGATTGCTCCTCGCCACCACCACCACCATGGAGGCCAGCTGTCTCAGAACCCTAGAAGTCTCTCATCTGTCTCCCTTTCACCAAACTTTAACCACAGATCATCATTTCACACCAAGATGGCTTCAGTTATAATAGAAAGGAGCAATGCCTTGGGGCCTCTAATGAACTTATTCAGATACCAACAAGCAGTTCCGAGTAAAATCATAGTTGATGGAGGTGGACAATGCCTCTTTAGGAGTGGCCCTGGTAATCCTCTGGCCCTGGAATGCTACCTTTACCCACACACCACTTATCCCCATCCCACCTCCATCCCCACCCCACCCCCACCCCCACCCCCACCCTCACCTGCATCTTACATGTCTTAATTAGGGTTTCTATTGCTGTGAAGAGACACCATGACCACAACAATTCTTATAAAGGAAAGCTTTTAATTAGGGTTGGCCTACAGTTCAGAGGTTCAGTCCATTATTGTCGAGGTGGAAAGTACGGTGGCATGCAGGCAGATACAGTGCTGGAGAGGTAGCTGCATCTAGATTGGCAGGCAGCAGGAAGGGAGAGTGAGCACCCTGGGCCTGGGTTTTGCTTCTGAAACTTCAAAGCCCATCCCCAGTGACACACTTCCTCCAACAAGGCAACACCTACTCCAACAAGGCCACACTTCTAACCCTTTCAAATAACATCATTCCCTATGAACCTTTGAGGGCCATCTTTATTCAAACCACCACACTACCCCTTCACATGCCAAACCTCTGAACCCAGACTATACTAATAAGAAGGCAGGGACAGAGACAATGGGGACTGCTCAGGAGCACCTCCCTGAGCCAACATAGCTCAGGGGTGCTTTCCCAGCCCAGGGCAAGTCCGATACTTTCCCAGTGTTGAAAAACCACAGGACAGCCAGTAAGGGCAGAAGGTAAAAACCATCAGGGTCTGCGCTGTGAGGTGGCACTCACATCGATGTTTTACCTTATTTCGGTTTGCAGAGTTGTTGTGTATGGTTGAACTGGTTATTTTTCTTGCCTCTGTGACCAAATCTGTGGTGCAGAGGAGCTTAGAGGAGAAAAGCTAACTTTGGCTCACGGTTTGAGGTCGCTGTCCTTCATGACAGAGAAGGCCTGGCATCTGGCCCATGAGGTAACTGGTTATGTTGCACCTATAGACAGGAAGCAGAGAGATGAACACCAATGCCCAGATGCCTTCCTCAGTTCCCCTTCTTCATTCAGTGAGAGGCCCCAGCCCAGGGTGTGGGGCGTTTACCCACCACCCCCACAGCTTCCCAGAGTTTTCTTGAGTGCGAGCAGCAGGAAATATTAGATAGAAGGATTTATAGCGGAGAATCTTGCGGAGATAAACAGATAGAAAATAAAGGATAGCCTCGAGAGGGCCTGGAACCTATTCCAACGGGCCCGGACTGTCTCTGGTCCAGGGTTTTTATAGAG